TTTAACAAACAAATATTTTCAGGGCGCCATTACTTCTAGAAACCTTCCCTTGGGGCACCTGGGTGGCTCAGTCGGTGAAGCATCCGACTTCGGCTCAGGTCATGATCTCACAGTTTGTGAGTTCGAGCCCCGCGTCAGGCTCTGTGCTGACAACTCAGAGCCTGGAGCCTGTGTTCAGATTCTGTGTCTCCCTCTCTCTCTGACCCTCCCCTGCTCCCGCTGTCTCTCTCTCTCTCCCAAAAATAAATAAAACATTAAGAAAATTAAAAAAGAAACCTTCCCTTAATTTTGCAAAGTGTGTCTTCTAAAAGAGTGTAGAAAAACTGTCTTTATAGACTTTAAGGTATCAGAAACCTGGAAAGACCATATGGATCCATGTAATCCTGCATTTCTGAAGTTGAAGAAAACAAAACAGAATTTAAGTGACCTGATTCATGTCATTAGTTTGGTGGCTACATCCAAAGCAACAGCTGAAAACAGAGCATTCACTGAGCATTTACTATGTGCTAGTTTCTCTTCTATGTGCTTTACACATACTAACTTTTATAGATTTCAAAACCCAGTCAGGGAGGTGTTATCCTCATGGTACAAATGAGGAAACTGAAGGAGGAAGAGTGATTTGTCCAAGGTTATGTAACCAGTGAGTGGTAAAACCAAGATTCAAACCCAAACAGTTTGGTTCCTGATTTTATGCTTTGAAAAATGAGGCTATCCTGCCAACTCATATGTTTAATATTTTTATTTGAGGAGTGCAGATATTAACTGTTTTTTTTTTTTTTTTTTTTTTTTTTTTAGAGAGCAGAAGCAGGGAAGAGGGACAGAGGGGGTTAGAGAGAGAATCTTAAGCAGGCTCCATGCTCAGCGGGGAGCCTGATGTGGTGCTTGATTCCACAACCCTAGGATCATAACCTGAGCCAAAATCGAGAGTTGCATGCTCAACCGACTGAACCACCCAGGTGCCCTGGGACATTAACTTTTTAATCAGTTTTATTGAGGTATATAATCTCTATGTGATAAAATTCACCCATTTGAAATGTGTGATTCAGTGAATTTTGACATATGTATAACTACCACCACAGTGAAGCTATTAAAATTTTTCATTACTCCTCTAAATCCACTTATGCCTTCTTTCCCTCAGTTCCTTCACCCCATCCTGGCCACCGGCAATCAATGAGCTCTTGTCACTATGTGTGCTTTCCCTGGAATCATGTATAAATGAAATTATAAAGTGGATCTTTGTGTCTGTCTTTCAATTAGTATGAGATTCATCCATGTTGTATCAATAGTTCCTGCATTTTTATTGCTAAGTAGTATACCATAGTATGAATGAATCACAATTTACCTATTCATAGTTGTTGGACATTTGGGTAATTTCCAGTTTTTAACTGTTACGGATAAATTTTCTTTGAATGCTTCTATAAAATTTTTGCATGGCCATGTGTTTCAATTTCTTTTGTGCAAATCCTTAGGAGTAAATTACTGAGTCCTTTAATAAGTATATGCTTAAGGTTGTAAGACAATGCCAAAGTACTTTGCAAAGTGGCTATACCATTGCGCATTCACAACAAAGGTATGAAAGTTCCATTGTTCCACATTCTCACCAACAGTTATATTTTATTTTATGTTTTAAAAGATTTGTTTTTAAGTAATCTCTATACCCAACCTGGGATTAGAGCCTATAACTCCAAAATCAAGAGTCACATGCTCCACCAACTGAGCCAGCCAGGCACCCCAGTTATATTTTAATTTTAGCCGTTCTCATGGATATATAATGGCATTGCTTTGGTTTAAATTTGTATTTCCCTGATGATTAATGACATTGTTTATCTTTTCATGTACTTAATGGTGTTTTGTATGTTTTCCTTTTCAAAATGCCTGTACAAACATTTTACTCATTTTTGAATCAGGATGTGTGTCTCTTACTGCATTGTTCTGAAAACAACTCAATTCAACTGTCAACAAGTCAAAAAGAATTTTCAGGAAAATTCTTTGCAAATATATTTCTCTCAGTAGGTTTTCTTTCTTTTTTTTCTTTAAAGTAACTTTTTTTATTTATTTTATTTTATTTTATTTTTTATTTCTAGGAGAGAGAGAGAGAGACAGCGTGAGCAGGGGAGGGTCAGAGAGAGAGGGAGACACACACTCCGAAACAGGCTCCAGGCTCTGAGCTGGCAGTCAGCACAGAGCCCGACGCGGGGCCCGAACCCACGAACCGCGAGACCATGACCTAAGCGAAAGTCGGACGCCCAACCGACTAAGCCACCCAGGCGCCCCTCTCTCAGTAGGTTTTCAATAGATGCTCATTATCAGTCCCTCTACTTTTACTTGGCTGAGAATTTTTTTTTTAATGTTTTAGTTATTTTTGAGAGAGAGAGACAGCAGGGGAGGGGCAGAGAGAGAAGGAGACATAGAATCCTAAGCAGGCTCCAGGCTCTGAGATGTCAGCACAGAGACGGATGCAGGGCTGGACCTGCCCCGTTGAATTCTTAATATATACCCACATTGACCATGATATTCTTTTAAATTTCTTTTTATTTTAGGGAGAGAGAGAGAGAGCATCAGAAGGAGAGAGAGGCAGAGGGAGGTAGGGAGGCAGAGAGAGAGAGAGAGAGAGAGAGAGAGGCAGTCCTAAGTAGACTCCATGCTGAGTGTGGAGCCTCAACTAGGAGCTTGAGCCCATGACCCTGGGATTATTACCTAAGCTGAAATCAAGAGTTGGACACTTAACCAACAGAGCCACCCAGGTGCCCCCAAGTTGTTCATGATTTATTAATACTTTTGTATCTTCCTGAATTCACTGGATTTTTGTATCAATGTTTATGAGGTAATTTTTAGTTTTTTTCTTTAATGACTTTGTCTAGCTTTGGTATAAAGGGAAGTCTGTCCTCTTAAAATGAGTTAATAAGTGTTTAATCCTTTTTTATTTGGGGGCTTGGAGTTGCCATTTTTAGGAAGCTCGGATATGAATTACATTCTTTAATACATAAAGTTCTACTCAGGTTATCTCTTTTTTTCTGAGTGAACTTTGTTAAGTGTCTTTCAAAGAATTTGTCCATTTCCTTTAAATTTGCAAGTTTTGGGGCACCTGAGAGGCTCAGTTGGTTAAGCATCCAACTTCAGCTCAGGTCATGATCTTGCAGTTGGTGGGTTTGACCCCCATGTCAGGCTGTGTGCTGACAGCTCAGAGCCTGGAGCTTGTTTCAGATTCTGTGTCTCCCTCTCTCTCTGCCCCTCCCCCCTCATGCTCTGTCTCTCTCAAAAATAAACAAACATTAAAAACTTTTTGAAAAATAAAATAAAACAAATTTGTAAATTTATTGAAATTTGTTTGTAATATTTCCTTGTTCTCATTTTAATGACCATAGGATCTGTATTGATAGCTGCTCTTTATTACTTACACTCTTAATTGTGTGTTCCTTCTACAGTTTTTTGGTCAGTTTCATGTGAGATTTATTAATTTATAGATATTTTCAAATATTTTTTGTTTTGATTTTTCTCTATTGTAAATCACTGTTATAATTCATTTATTTCAGTAATTATCTTTTTTTAATTTTTTAAAAATGTTTATTCATTTTTGAGAGAAAGAGTGAGAGTGCAAGCAGGGGAGGGACAGAGAGAGAGGGAGACATGGAAACCGAAGCAGGCTCCAGGCTCTGAGCGGTCAGCACAGATCCCAATGCAGGCCTCAAAACCACAAGCTGTAGGATCATGACCTGAGTAGAAGTCAGACACTTAACCGACTGAGCCACCCAGGTGCCCCATATTTCAGTAATTGTCTTTATCATTTTTTTCTTCTCTTTATTTTGGTTTTATATTCCTCTATTTTTCCTAGTTTCTTTTTTCTTTAAAAAATAATTTTTTTAACGTTTATTTATTTTTGAGAGATAGAGACAGAGTGCTATCAGGGGAGGGTCAGAGAGAGAGGGAGACACAGAACCTGAAGCAGGCTCCAGGCTCTGAGCTGTCAGCACAGGGCCTGATGTGGGACTCAAACCCACGGACAGTGAGATCGTGACGTTTGACAAAGTCCAGCGTTTAACTGAGTGAACCACCCATGCACCTCTAGAACTATTTCTATGATTGATTCCTTGTATTTCCACCCTTCCCTTTCTAGCTATACTACTGTGTTTTATTATTTTTTTTATTATTATTTTTTTTACTCCGTTTTTATCAGCTGCCCTGGGATTCAAAATATGTATTTTTCACATATTGCAGTTCACTGTCAAATATTGTTATACAATTTCATGTGTAGTGTTAACAAATGCCTTCTGTCTTTCCTATGTCCTTTGTGCTACTGATACATATTTTACTTCCACTTATGTTACAAACACTGCAATATATTTTTATAATTCTTGCTATATGATCAGTTATATTTTAAATAGATTAAAATGAAAAGACAATCTTTTATATTTACCATACACACCATATCTGGTGCTCTCCTGTACTTTGTGCAGATACAAATTAGTATCAGTTATTGCACTTCTTCTGAAGATCTTATTTTAATTTTTTAAAGTTTATTTACTTAATTTTGAGAGAGAAAGTGAGAGCAGGGGAGGGGCAGAGAGAGAGGGAGAGAGACATATCCAAACAGGCTCCTCACTGTCAGCTCAGAGCCCAGTGCAGGGCTCAGAATCATGAATTGTGAGATCATAAACTGAGTCAAAATCAAGAGTCAGAGGTTTAACCAACTGAGCCACCCAGACACCCCTGGTAATTTTTGATTGGACACTGGTCTTTATTTTACTTTCTTATGTTCTGGATTTTGCATGGTTATTTAAGGGGTATTGAACTTTAGCGTGCAGAAATTTGGAGTCAACATCATCTCAAGGCCTGATATTAGGCTGTGTAAAGGCAACTTCAGAAAAAAATGTATTTATTTCAGGTATATTTAGTGTCACTCTTAAGGTGATAATTTTCTGAGGACTCTACCAGATGCTCCCTGTATGACAAAGTCTCTACACTGGCTGATGGAAATGCAAAACGTCCATAACCTTCTGTACTTGGGAATTTTTTTGGCTTGCTGCTTTCCAGTGGTAATTTCCTCATCCTTGTGAAGATTCTTTCCATGTGACCACAGATCTGTACTCAGTAATGATTCAAGGGGAATATTCGGCACTTCAATGGATGAGTTAACTACTACAGAGCAGGACTCTCCCTCTTTTCTGCTTCCTCCACTTCAGTATTTTGCTGCTTAAATTCTAAGCTACTCAGCCTCTCTGAACTCAAAGTTTTGTCTCCTCAACTCAGTAAGTTCACTGGGGTCTGTTTCTTTCCCCTTTCCTTGTACTTCAAATTACCTAGTGTTAAAAACCAAACGCAAAAACAAAATTCAACTGACTAGATTTTAGAGGTCTTATTGGCGTTTATTGAATAATTCCTGAATTGGGCAGCATTCCATCCAACAGAAAGGAACTCTGAGGAGCTGTACAAAATGAGAGACTTTTAAAGGCAGAAGGGGGCAGGAAACTGTAATTAAGGTAGGTAATAAGTCTTGGTTTGGTGATGTGGGTTTAGCACACGTTAACTCCATTTTGGGTATGTTGTCTCCTTCTTATCCCTGGAAAGTGCCTACAAGCTAGCTGGAACAATCATGGAGCTCACTTTAACACATATCCCTTCTCTCTTGCATTACAGTCTTGCACTGCGCATTGACTAATGTCTGCCTCAGGGGGAAAAAATAATCTTTCCTCTACCCTTCTAGGTTTTTAGCTGAGACCTCCCTGTGATTAAAGAAATTAACAAGAGAAGAACAAAGAAAAATTGAATAACATGTATATCTCCTGTATACATGGGAGATACCCAGGAAAACTGAGTAATTCTCCCAAATGGTCCAAGTCATCACCTTAAATACCATCTTCAACTAAAGACAAAAGAAGATATTGTGGATGGGGAGTCAGTCTGGGGAGCTTTCCATGTAAAGCAGATTTAAGTCTCTGCCTTCTTCTTTGTTATGAGTTTGTAGAAATTTCATCAATTTCTCTTCCTGGTACAGGAGGGAGACGCTGTTTAAACATGGACATTTACCTTATAAATATAAATTAGTGCATGCTATTTTTAAAAAATAATCAGCCTAACATAACCTTATGCCAAAGAGGCATATATTGAAGTGGCATATTGTGCTCCCCTTCATCTGAGAAGCTATTTATGTTTTGTTGACTTTTCTAGTTGCTTGACATGGGAGGGTAATTTACACAGTAATTAATTTGCTTACCAGTAATTTTAGTGATATTGTTCCACATGTTATCTAAATTTATTTTAATCTCTTATTTGCTGTGTGACCTTAAATATTAAAATTTTTAATCCATTTAAGGGACTAACCATGTGAATAGTGAAGAAATTCATCCTTATTTCACTGTATAGAATTTTTGTTAATATGTGAAGATCCTGATGATATCTTGAGTCTAAATCTTGGGTTTTTGTCAAGTGAATAAATATTTTTAACCTTTAGTTTCTCACTCTTAAGGTAGGTAAAAAAAATAGTAACTACTTTTTTATATTTTATATATTACATTTTATATTATTATAGAATCATTTGGAAAAAATAAGAAAATGTATGTAGAAAACTTAGCTCAGTGCCTAGCTGAGTAGCTAAACAGTAGCTTAAATTATAAACAGTAGCTTAAATCTTTATTAATGTAATTTTAATGGGGTGGCTATATTATAAAATGGCTTAGTTTGCATTCAGAATGTTACAAGAAGAGATATTAGAGTTTGTTATACCGCCTCATAATTTTTGCACATAATTTATTTCTTGTAGTATACAATTTAGGTGTGAGCAGTATTATTTTATTTCCATAAGGCTGCCATTTCAACAAATACTTAAATTGAAAGTTTCCTATATATAAAAACATTGCTGGGTATGATGAAGTTTTGGGGTGATGGTGGGGTTCGTGGGGTCTGGAGCCGACGGGCAAGAAAGAATTTTTGAAGGTGTCTTTGGTGCAAAAAGGTGATTTTACTAAATCATGGAGACAGGACCCATGGGCAGGAAGAGCTACACCCTAAGTGTGTGGGGGGGGGAGGGGAGGAAGGGGGTCACAGGTTGTAAGGAGTCCTGGGAGGTAAAGTCAGGAGTTTCTATTTTTTTTTTTTTTTTTTTTTTTTACAAATAGTTTATTGTCAAATTAGTTTCCAAAGTCAGGAGTTTCTAAAGAGACTTTTCACATGCTAAAGACTTACTGGAAGCCTAGCTATTGTCAAACTAATGTTGCTTTTCCCTCTAGCAAATCATTAACATTGAGACAGCAGGGAGTTTCTGGACTTTAGGCTATGATGAGATTGCCTTTTTCTGTTAAGCTGGTGGAGACTCTTATCAATTTAACCATTTGATTTTTTGTCCTTTCCTGTTTTTGGATAGCCAAAGTGTCCAAGGAATATCATACATGTCCCACCTCTGGGGGGCGGGTGTGCTAGCTTCTGCTTTGCCCCTCAGCCTGCCCCACGCCCCCTCATCAGGAACCTGGGATAAGCAAATATTGGCAAGCTACAGTCCATGTCATCAAATATCTTACAATCTAACAGTAAATTCTACATTAAAAGAGCTCTTCTATTTATACAAGTGCACAGCTACCTTAAACTAGTCTAGAATAAGATGTTTAATATCACTCTTTAAAATATTTCATTTTGGGGACACCTGACTAGCTCAGTCAGTAAAGCATCTCAGGGTTGTAGGTTCAAGCCCATATTGGGTATAGAAATTACTTAAAAATTAAAAAAAATCTTTAAAAAAATAAAATATTTTGGAGCACCTGGGTTGCTCAATTGGTCACTTTGGCTCAGGTCATGATCTCGCAGTTCATGGGTTTGAGCCCTGCATCGGGCTCTGTGCTGACAGCTCAGAGCCTGGAGCCTGCTTTGGATTCTGTGTCTCCCTCTCTTTCTGCCCCTCCTTGGCTCCCTCTCTCTCAAAAATAAATATTTAAAAAATTTTAATAAAAAATAAATAAAATATTTCAAATTTTTATGATGTTTTATTTTCACCTGACGTGTCCTCTTCCCCTGTTCTATTATCTGTGGATTTATTTTTTTCATGACTCTTGTAGCCTCCAGGAAAGAGAGATCTATCCTTCCTGCCCTATGCCTCTTTGTCCTGACCCAAGCTGCCTCTGGCCTTACAGCACTACATTTTGTCCATCCCCAGCACAAATACATATGTATTTCTCATTTTAAACTATCTTTGTTCTTTTAATTCCAACCCCTAAACCAAACTTATCATTAATTTTTACTAAACTTCATCAAAGTAAAATATGTCAAAATCTCTGTGACAGTTCAAAGATCATGTGGTGAAGAGACCATGCTTTTGGTAACAACCCACCCTTCCATGTTGGTACTTAAACCTTACGATTAAGGCCTAAGAGCTGAACAGGCATCATATTTCTATAAAATAGAAGAGAAAGTCATTAAATACTAAAGCTGAAAAAAACAAACTACTTTAAAAACAAGCACTCTGCTTCTAACTAATCTAAAATGAACTCCCCAGAGAAACTTCTGGAAATTTGAGCATACTTTGTCCGTGTGCTGATTTTCTCAGTCATGCTTTTAAGTCTCATCCACATCCACTCCCAGTTCTCTGAGATTTGCAAATTTGTTACAGAGTAATTTGTCTAATTTAACACAGGACAGGATGAACATTTTGGTGTGAAATATTCTATAGGATTTTCTTTTTTTTTTTTTTTTTAAGATTTATTCATTTGGAGTTAACAAGCACTCTCTCTCTTTTTTTCTGAGAGAGAGAGAGAGAAGTGGGACTCACCCGAAGCAGGGTTTGTGTTTTGTTTTTGTTTTTGTTTTACCTGAAGTGGGGCTCAAGCTCACCCAATGTGTGACTCAAACTGACAAACTGTGATATCATGACCTGAGCCGATGTCTGATGCTTAAGGATTGAGTCACCCAGGTGCCCCCTTTATTTATTTTGATATGCAGCATATCTTAGACATAAAAGATCTGTGATTTGACCTACCTAGCTTAGCATAAAGAACATGTTTCTAGGGGAATGGAACAATTAACATAGTAACACTTAAAGCTTTTAGGATTCACTTGGTACTTTGTGGAGAACTTCTTATAACCATTCATATCATGCTTAAGGGCCATGTTTTCTCTAAAGTTATTCCTTCCTATTAGAGGAGTGTTATACATCACACTCATTTCATTGTGTATCAAAGGGGTTTTTGTAGTACTTGTCATTCTTGATATGCACTCCTTGAGGACAAGGCATATTGCTTATTTCATTGTAACTCCAATGTCAGTATCAACAAGGATTTAAACATATAAACTAATGGGGCACCTGGCTAGCTCAGTCGGTAGAACATGGGCCTCTTGATCTTAGGGTCACGAGTTCAAGCCCTACATGTGTAAAGCTTACTTAAAAAAATAAAATACATAAACATATAAACTACTTAATGCTGTGACTTTGGAGGTTCAAAATCTTGACTATGAGGGGCACCTGGGTGGCTCAGTCGGTTAAGTGTCTGACTTTGGCTCAGGTCATGATCTCACGGTTTGTGGGTTTGAGTCCCGCGTCTGGCTCTGTGCTGACTGCCAGCTCAGAGCCTGGAGCCTGTTTCAGATTCTGTATCTCCCTCTCTCTCTCTGACCCTCCCCTGCTCATGCTGTCTCTCTCTCTCAGAAATAAATAAAACGTTAAAAAAAAATCCTGACTATGAAAGCTCATTGTGTTACTTACTATCAGGTTACCTACTACTTCTCAGCTACCCTAATTGCATCATACAGTGCAACATTAGAAGTAAATGAAATAGTATGATTGCCTCCTCATCTAGCATATATGTCCCAACAAAAGTCAATTCCTTCCTTTCTTTCTTTCTTAATAAATATTTACTGAAAAAGTATGTGAAGTTACTATTCAAAATTAAGTTAGTATTTCAATCAGGGCATTGAACTAATTCCCTGTTCTTTTGGTGAAAAGGAAAAAATATACTATTCCCTTATCTTTGCCTTGTTAAAAGAGACAATATTTACATAAGGGCATGGTGATATTTCATGCTTAAAAAGTCCTCTAAGATTTTTTCCTCTAAGATTTTAATAAGCTAATGTCTATACTAAAAAATAAGAAAGATCTCAAATTAATAACATAACTCTATACCTTAAGAATCTAGAAAAAGAGCAAGCTAATTTATAGAATTATTAAAACATGGCTTTTATGAAGAGAAGGTCATATCTTTCATTCTGGTGTGTTAGAGCTGGGTACCAGCCTCTAAGAACCCACAAGTGTTCAGGGAAGCTTGGAACATTCTCCCCTTGTTTCTTTGTGCCAAGCTATTACTCATTCTTTGGTTCTTTGATAAGAGGCCACTTCTTTCCTAGAAGCCTTCTGCGCTGGTTATACCTTTTTCCACCTCCTGGTTTCTACCATCACCCCACCTCTATCCATTATCAATGGTTCTGTCCCGCTCCAAGTGCTAGTAAGCTGACCTACAGAGGCTGAAACACATGGGCTCCTTTCAGAGTCCCGCTCCAGCCAGTCTAGGGGTCCCTGAAGGATGGACGGTGTCGGCAAGAGAGTGAGAGAGCCCTGAGGTTCTTTCCGATCATCAGGCAGGCATCTCTGCACTGACTGAAATTCAGCTTTATTTACGGTTAAGTGTATGGGGAACATCACAGAAGTGGCATTTGCCTTAGACAATGATTCTGATGATAAATTCTTTGATATGTAAAAATTTCTCAGAACATAGATTTGTAGAAGACTCATACATAACCTTTATCAATAGTGATTGATGTAAGTGATTTAGATGCTTATCATACAGGGAAGGAATGTATCTTTAGCATTCAAATACAAACAAGACAATGTTTTTAGCATGGCAAAGGCAAAAGTTAGTTCTTTGTGAGCGGGGGTCAATAGCCTGTTTGCTTAAAGGGAAGTATAAGAAAAACAGGATCCTCAGGAAACACAATATTTGCTCCCATAATC